TCACTTATCGAGATCAGACATCAACCCAAGATAATGGTGGTTAGGTCATCTGCAAATGCAGTTAGCCGAGTAGAATCTTATTAACTACTAATTTCCACATCAACGGAGAGAGGACGTTAATAAACGTAAATGTAATAAGAAACAAGAGAAAAGAGTTTTGTAAAACTATTGCTTTATGTATTACGTGCCACCTTGCACTCAGACTAGTCTCTGACAAGAAGTTCTTCTTCACAGGTTTAGATAAGGGCAGCTTTTTCTTTACTAAACAAGTTTTGAACTGAAGGGTATAAGGGCGCGTATATAATAGACTTGCATATGTACATATGTACATATGTATGCATTTCCATAGTCTGCAATAGTTTTCAGTTACCGTCAGATTTATATTTGCTGACGTCAAGTCATAAGTAAAGTGCGGGTATTATGCTAAATACACACGAGGAAACCGTTAAAGCAACCATAGCGGAACAATTTTTGTATACAGTCTTGTAGCCCATTAAATAACACTGGACCACAAATTTCAACTTTTTCTCTTTACCAGAATCGCCGTTATGAAATTCTTATGTAAAATCACCCCCTGATTCCGAAAATCAAGGTTATTTTTAATACTATAGTACCGTTTTTGAGATATTTTCAATTTACCGTTTTTGCAAAAAAAAAAAAATTGGGTCCACTTTATCATATATATCTCAAGAACGAATTAAGCAATTCCAAAACGGTTTGAAGCTTTTAAAAGGTAATAAAATTTTCTATAAACTGTGCATACAACACTTTTTGCTAGGCCCTGTAGATTCAAAGATAACGAACAATCATTACCGATTTTTTCAATTTTTTTTGTAAAAATATAAAAAAAATTGTACTTTGCGGGGAAGGATCTCGAAAACCTTTTATTTTTTTGCAGATTTTTTTTTTCTCCCTAAGCTCTGTTGTATTACAAAAAAAATAAGCTATCATCGAAGAAAATCGATGCAAAACTACGTAAGTTATAAGCGATCAAATAAAAATACCCAGGTTGCGCAACTTCAATGTATGTACCTATACATACATACATATATTAAAGGTATAAAGTGCAAGTGAGATATTATCCGGATAAACGAATAACACCATAACAATGATAACACTTTTTCTTTAAATAAATCAAATAGTACTTTTAATACTCGAATTGTATTATAGTAGGTAGAGTGGTTGCATCGAAAGGAAGAGTGGTTGGGTTCGAAACCTGCTGTAGGCATGTAGTTATAAACATGTATTTCCGTCAGTTATGGGTAAGTATGCAGGTAGATTTTCAAAATTATAAGACACAGAAAATTTCTAAAGCCTACATCTAAAACAGGTAGTATTTTCTTTTCCCGGCTTGTTATAAAAAGGAACCTTTCTGTCTAGGTAAGATTTGATTTTTTCAATTTTATTCTTGTTCCGAGTATAAATATGAGTTAATGCGCTTTGAAACTTCATAACATCTTCAAGGCTCGCCGGAGATAGTTCAGTTCATAAGTCTAATTTCAAAACCGTGATTTATTAAAAAAAATAAAATGAGTAAAAGGACGCGAGAATTTGAGTGTAATAAGGATCCAGATATGTTCTGTTTCATGTGTGGCCAATATACTATCATAAGGCGACGACGAGTGTTCTCAGATCATATCAAAACTTTATACTCCAAGTATTTTGGAATTGAGCCTAAAAATGCTGAAAAACCATGGACACCGAACACTTTGTGTACATCGTGTCGAGTAGAATTGATTCAGTGGGAATCAGGACAACAAACAAAATTTGATACACCAATGATATGGAGAGAACCTACTTGCCATTCAATAGAGTGTTATATTTGTCAAACAAAAGTACTTGGCGTTGGAAGATCAAGAGGAGTAACCTATGCTAGCGTACCTACAGTGACATTACCAGTACTACATTCAACGGCAGTTGCGGATCCAGTTCCATTGTCAACAGTAACATCTGAGTGCGGGGGATCAAGTTGTACTGAATTTCGCATGGAAAACGAAAGAAACGTTCTGTCACAAGCACAACTTAATGATTGGATAAGAGATTTGGAACTATCCAAGGAAAAGGCCGAGATCCACACTTCTCGTATGCAACAATTTAAATTTGTGTCATCCGATGTTAAGGTGACATATAGTAGAACTCGTCACGAACCATTTTCCAAACACTATACCAAGAAAGACAGTATATGCTACTGCAACGACATCCCTGGTTTATTCAAAGAGTTTGGTCAAACATATGATTCAAAAGAGTGGCGATTGTTCATAGACGGCAATAAACTGAGTTTGAAGGCTGTATTATTGCATATTGGTAACAAAAAGCCTTCTATCCCGATTGCACATGCAGTAAATACAAAGGAAACCTACGAGGAAATGCAAAAAATACTCAAATTTATCAAATATGAAGAGCATGATTGGAAAATATGTTCTGATCTCAAAGTCGTTGCAATGCTATGCGGTCTACAAAGTGGCTACACCAAGCACTGCTGCTTCCTCTGCAAGTGGGATAGCCGAGCTCGTAAGGACCACTACGTCAGAAAGGATTGGCCGGAAAGAGTCGAGTTTACCGTTGGTGTGGATAACATCAAATACACCCCTCTTGTCAAGAAAGAGAAAATCATACTTCCACCCTTACACATCAAGCTCGGTCTCATTAAAAACTTTGTTAAGGCTTTGGACAAAGAAGGCGAAGCATTCGACTATTTGAAAACAGTTTTTCCAGATATTTCTCAAGCCAAGATAAAGGAAGGTATTTTTGTTGGACCACAAATAAGAAAGTTGATCAACAATAATCAATTCAAAGGACTACTCTCATCAGTTGAGGCAGCAGCGTGGGAATCCTTTGAAAAGGTCGTTGCTTCTTTTCTCGGTAGACACAAAAGCCCTAACTACGAGCAGATAGTGAACGACCTAATCAATAATTATGCGAAAATGGGCGTAAATATGTCTTTAAAAATTCACTTTCTCCACTCACATTTGAGCTTTTTTCCGGCAAATCTTGGCGACGAAAGTGATGAACATGGCGAAAGGTTTCATCAGCAAATGAAATTAATTGAGAATCGATATCAAGGATTCTGGGACGTCGCAATGATGGGTGATTACTGCTGGTTTCTCATAAGAGAAACCGATCCTAAACTGAATAAGCGTCAAAGTAGAACACATAATTATTTCGACAACATAGTAAAATCAAATTAAGATAAAGATTGTTAGAATATAGTATAAACATAAATAAATTTAAAAAAAAAGTTAAAAATATGGGTAATTTCATTCATAAATTGAACTTTTAACTCAATAGAAACAGAGCATAGCTAGATATTTCACTCTTCTTTATACCATACATACGTTTTGAGGTATACGTTGAAATTGCGCAACCTGGGTATTTTTATTTGATCGCTTATAACTTACGTAGTTTTGCATCGATTTTCTTCGATGATAGCTAATTTTTTTTGTAATACAACAGAGCTTAGGGAGAAAAAAAAAATCTGCAAAAAAATAAAAGGTTTTCGAGATCCTTCCCCGCAAAGTAAATTTTTTTTTATATTTTTACAAAAAAAATTGAAAAAATCGGTAATGATTGTTCGTTATCTTTGAATCTACAGGGCCTAGCAAAAAGTGTTGTATGCACAGCTTATAGAAAATTTTATTACCTTTTAAAAGCTTCAAACCGTTTTGGAATTGCTTAATTCGTTCTTGAGATATATATGATTAAGTGGACCCAATTTTTTTTTTTTTTGCAAAAACGGTAAATTGCAAATATCTCAAAAACGGTACCATAAAATTAAAAATAACCTTGATTTTCGGAATCAGGGGGTGATTTTACATACGAATTTCATAACGGCGTCTCTGGTAAATTTTGGCCGTCGACCAGTGTAATTAATAAAGTGCAAGTTAGAAGTAGCTAGGACTTACAGCTTTTTTTTTGCAACACTGCTCATTAAAAAATTTGAAATTTCGGTGGAAATTTTGAGAAATTTTCATAATTTGTCCACAAAATTTGGATTTACATGTATGATTTTTGTTAGCTAATAAGCTGTACTTTTATAAAAAATGATAAACATTAAATAAACCAGAGAAAAATTTTCTAAACTTTCGCGTCCCAATTTGTATTTAGACGATATTGCACCATGGGTCAGTAGCTAATCAAAGTGGCGAAAATTACACGAAACAAAGTTCTAAAATTTATTAAATGGGTCCGACTTTCTAATTATATATAAACAAAGGCACAATTGGCCCAAGTTTCAAATAAATTGATTCATTATTTCATTGCTGGCAGATACTCAAACTTTGAAATTATTTGAAAATTACATTCCGCCTCTTTGTAAAAAACAACATATTATTTGAATTGTCAAGGTAGTTATAAATCTCTTAACCATCAGGCTAAAATTAATGCTAATCCCCCGAATTCAGGGATTTTAACCGTAAACTGATTCCTACACTTATAGGAAGTTGTGTGAAACTTAAAATTCTTACAATTGTTGGCATCCGAACTGCAACTAAATTTAAAACGATATTGAAATGACTTTGGTAGCATTTTGTTCCTTATAGTATGCACTATAAAGAATTTATGCAAATGTTTTCCATTATTAAGATTCCCGTCCAAAATTTCGCCTTTAACGTATCTGCGTCGTCTGTGCGTAGGACCATTAACGTTTTAAGTTAAATTTGTTTTAAGTTGGTCTGCTCATCGCAATCTGATACAAATACAAGAAAAAAAAATTCAATATGGTGGACGAATGAGTTAAAGAAAATATTAAATTTTTATAATGCATGGTCATATTTTTACTTTTTTATTAATTTCATACATTTTTAAAAATTTTTATATTTTCCGTATATTTTTATTTTTATTTGTGTGTGTATATTACATAAGTATTTCGTATTTCTTTTTCTTTGTCTGTAACTTCCACATCGAGGAGTTCGGTTTCTGATTCCTTATCATTTTCAGATTCGGAAAACAATTGTCATCTCAATCAAACTGATTAGTATCTTTGGGATTTTGAACCTCAAAACACAATAAAAAGTAGCAAATAATTTAATAAAAAAGTAAAAAAAATGTTTTCAAGCTATATATTAATTTATCATAACGAAATCGAGGTAGAGTTATTATTAATAAAACCAAATAAAATAAAAGTTAACTTAATATAAAATAAAAAAAAAAACTAAATAAATCACTTCCAAAAATAATTACTTTTAAATAAAATTCAGCTTACACTGGTCTACAAGGGTTTTGCGAATAAGACGGGACCTGGTGTTTCCGAACGGATTTTTCGTGCTGAACACGAATCTGGGGTCCAAAACTTCCCATCACGTCACGTTTTCGAGAAAAAAGGGGTTGAAACCCCTAAAAACAGCGTTTTTGGCCATTTTTGAAAAATTGTAGAGCTGAACCCTGACGTGCTACAAACTTTGTATATGTCAGAAATTAAAGGCTAAATCGTGCCCTTTCGAATGAGCCCTATGCCGAATT